ATGGGGCTGGACCTAGGGCCCAGAACATTACACTATTTCAGGTGCCTGTTATACTGAGGGGAGGTGCCTGTTATACTGAGGGTGGGTGATTGGAAGGGAGCAGAAACCAGAGGGAATTCCACTACAAAACATTTCTCAATGTGGGTGACTAGGAAATGAGGGCAGGAGGAGCCAGAAATTCATCTTCAATAGAAATTTCACATATGGCAACCTGAACTCCTCTGAGTACCCCAACCCTGCACTATCACGAGCTCTGCTTGTTCAAATGTCTCTTAACCCACAGCCCCCTTTGCATTTCTTTGTTTTGCTTTTCTTCTGCGAATTAGATCTGGGACGTTGTATGTCAACATGGAACCTTGCGATGAGGTTGAGAGATCAAACCTACACCATGAGGAATGTTTTAATAGTAATTTATCATAGAAAATTAGGGCTGGAACGTACCTCAGGAGGACACATCTAGTCCAATCCCCTCCTCAAAGCAAGACCAGCCCCAACTAGATCATCCCACCCAGGGCTTTGTCTAACAGGGTCTTAAAAACCTCCAAGGATGGAGACTCCACCACCTCTCTGGGCAACCTGTTCCAGTGCTTTATTACCCTCCTAGAAAACCCTTCCTAATATCTAACCTAACCTTCCCTTGCTGCAGCTGGAGCCCATTGCTCCTTGTTCTGCCATCTGCCCCCACTAAGAACAGTCCAGCTCCATCCTCTTTCAAACCCCCTTCAGGTAATTGAAGGCTGCTATTAAATCCCTGCCCCCTTCTTCTCTTCTCCAGAGTAAATAAGCCCAGTTCCCTCATAAGTCATGTGCCCCAGGCCCCTCACCATTTTTTTTGGTGCCCTCTGCTGGACTCTCTCCAATGTGTCCACATCCTTTCTGTAGCAGGGGGCCCAAAACTGAACACAGGACTCCAGATGTGGCCTCCCCAGTGCTGAATAGAGGGGAAGAATCACTTCCCTTGACCTGCTGACAACACACGCACCAATGCAGCCCAGGATGCCATTAGCCTTCTTGGTAATAAGGGCACACTGCTGGCTCATATTCAGCTTACTGTCCCCTGTCCCCCACCAGGTCCTTTTCTGCAGAGCCACTGCCCAGCCAGTCACCCCCAGCCTGCACCGGTGCATGGGATTGTTCCCTCCTAAGTGCAGGACTTTGCCCTTGTCCTTGTTGAACCTCATGAAATTTCTTTTGGCCCAATCCTCCTATTTGTCTAGGTCACCCTGAATCCTCGCCCTACCCTCCAGGGTATCTACTACTCCCCCAGCTTGGTGTTCTGAGTGACTAGTTTCAGCCTGTATCTAAGCAAACAGTAGTCACATGTAAACCAGTACGATTTTGTTTATTCTGGTGTTTGCTAAGCCACGTTGAACCTTGATCGTACTTCTCCATTCCGCTTTTGCTATTAATGGTATTTGCTGTTGGGCATGGAAAGAGAAAACAGAATCTAAAACGTTACTGGGTCGGTATTGTGGCCTTGTTTCTCTAAGTCATGTTACCCAACTTTAGCATTGCCAAAGCCTCTTAGTAACAGCAATACAATCGTGGGGTTCACCATCTGAAGGAGTAGGCAACAGGGAGGCAGGGTTTAAAACAGGGAATCTAGTTAAAGTAATATTTCCAGCAGAAAGAAACAAAATTTCATACTTAGTCAATCTAGCATTTGAAAGGTGTTGGGTTTTAGTTTTTAGTAAAAGGGCTGCTACAGCGTGTGGGACAGCAACAGTAAGGGGAGAACCTAATACAAGGGTACAGGACAGTTCAACAGTAATAGCAGCTGCAGCTACAGCACGAAGACATGGAGGAAGTCC